ACTCCTCCAGCTTTCTCAGAAATCCCAAAAACATGCAATGCGCAGCAAATGGATGTAAAAAAAATAATTAATGTACGTTCTTCCTGGTTCTATCTTTGTTTGATTGAGATACATATACTTTTTAGTTTTGAAGTATTTAGTATTACTACCTAGTATTTTTCTTCCTGCTGCAAAAATGTGATGCCTTTTTGTCTCCTCTAAGCACAGCCAGTGTTTAATGTACATAGTCACTAAATCAAATTGACAACATCACTGCAGCAGCAGCAACAGAAGTCAATGTAAACATGGAAACATGACTCAGGGAAAAACAAAACTGCTGATGTCACAGCAGAAGCCACAGTAGCCTCGGGATCAGCAGGCGGAGAATAACAAGGGGTGAGCAGATAGGCTGGGTTTGGATCAGAGTCCTGGACACAGTTTCCTTGTGACACTTTCAGACCGATGAGGTCGTAGGCCACCGTGATGATGTCATCAGTGTTCCGTCAGGGAGTAGGAATGTGCAGATCAGACGGTTCTAACCAGGAAAACGTTCTGTGGTTGCTCACAGCGACTCAAGTGCTTGTGTCTGGAAAGATCATAAAGTGAAGAGGCTGCCGGAGCTTGAGCTGAACTTTGTTCACATCTGAAGAAGCTCTGAGTTGAAGGAGAGAGCCTGGCATCATGAAATCCATTTCAGCTTGCTCTCTTAAACAGGAGTTCACTGCTTTATCTCATTGTTAGACATTCCTACCCAACACCAGTCAAAAATTAGAAACCACTAACTCTCCCACACTAGTCTGCAGAGAAAATCTGTAATTTTAGCTCACAGAAATACAGGAGCTGCTGCTCTGCTTCTGCTGCGTGTGGTCAGCAGCAGAGGATAAAAACTCCAGTCTGATCTGATCACTCTCTACAGACATCGGTTTGCCCACAATGTACTGAAAAGTACATTACACACATACGTAGTTCTTTTTTAAATCAGGAAATTAAGGTATGTAAACGACTCTAAAACTCCAAAGAGAATATTAGTAGGGATGTAACGTGCCTGATTAAAAATCAAAACAAATGTGTGACAATTCGCATCGGAAATACAAAGTGAATAGCACATCAAGGCGTAAAGGGTATAAAGGCTGCGTTATCTCAAAAAGGCACACCATGATAAAGGGTAAACTGCGTTATCTCAAAAAGGCACACCATGACGCTGCACACTCTAGTATAATAGGGGCCTTAAAAAACGTTGGTTGTGACTCACTATTAAAGACTAAGACGGCCCATGTAGCCTTAGTGATATTCAGGTGTTCAAACAGAACAGTTTTTATAGATGGAGAACAGTATTTATTCCTTGTGATTTTTCTGGAGTACATTAGGCTTACACAGGGAACAATCTTATAATAGAGTAAACAGTAAACAAACGTGGAAAAAAAACCTTTAAATTTGCACTTTAATGAAACAGGAGAAAGTACCATCATCCTGGACACATTGTTGCACCCGCTGTTTAAATTGTGGCTTGCATACAGGAATAACATTGGCAGATTCACCACCACTATGTCTCTATCACGTCTTGGCGCCACATGAAGCACAGAAACATATTTACGTATATACATGCTTTCTTGTTTTTAACCCCTTAACGCTGCCTTCCTGTGCCATTTTCATCGCTATCGCGGCAGCAATGGCTGCCATTATGTATTTACAATGTTGAACTGTGCTGTTCTAACATTAGGTGAAGCAGGAAAAGTCTACTGAAGTGGGCGGAGCAACAGGTCTAAGTTCTGCAGGATGAATTTTGCTTGTACTCCATCCTCACACTGTACAATATGTTTAGCGACAGAACTGAACAGAAAGAAAGTGTCGCTTCACATGGAAGTGTTGTCTCTGGGTGTGAAGAGTCTTTAGTGTCTAGATGTAAAATGTTGTCCACTGTTGAACCATTAAACCTTAATGCTGTATCACTGCCTTCTTCTGGAGGCTAATGGAACGGTGATTTACTACCTTCAGATCCACAAGATCAGCATGGGTTTAAACTTAGGCTTTGCTGGAAAGCCACAGGTGTTTTACTGGAGAGAGTCTCAAAACTCAGAAAGCATTCTACAGGGAGGGTTTCCTGAAAATGTCAATGTAACTGATAACTTGTTAGATCTGCCCCTGAGCAGGGGAGCGGCTAAAAAAAAGATGAATATGAAGAAAAAGTTGGGTTGCTGATATTCAGTAAGTAGATTGGTTACCTTTCAACCAGTAGGTCAGAGATACAATTGCTGGCTTTCCAGGTGTCCTTAGTGACCTTCACCCCAACATTGGACATGGTAAGTGTCTCTAGGATCCACTTGGTTTTGATCCCAAACCAATTCAAATGAGGAGAAGTGGATCAGGGAATCTGTTGTAAAAAGAATCCGTCAACCAGCATCTGGAGAGCGAGTTGGAAGTTTGATCAAACCGACACCATGGGAATCTACAGGAATTTCATACAAGTTGCTGGATATTGTGGCTATGGTACCGTGCAGCAGTGCATCCTTAACTTGAGACCAGTGGTGTGGGGGTTTATCTGGTTTTAAATCCAGATTAAACCCTTGCTTGAAAACTTAGAAAACACCAAGTGACATTATTCTCATGCTGAAAAGAACCTTAAAATTGCACTTCGGTTTTTAAGCAAGTAGGTCTTGCAAAAGGCTGCGATGCATTTGGGTAGGTCTGGGTCACCTCCCTCCATGGAGACCAGCACTCTCATGGCAGAGCCCCACCTTTTGGAGAGGTGCCTGAAGATGGCTTTGTCCAGGTTCTGGACATTTCCTGGTGTAATGTTGATGTTGTCGTAGTCAAGCTGTGCCCAGGTATCGTCTACCAAACGCTGGATGGTGGATTTCAAGTCTGTGAAAAAGGCCCTGTCCCCTTTAACCGACTTCCAAACCCTCTTAATGAGTGTAGTAATGACAAGTCTTAGACAAGTTCTGCTGACTTCTGTTTCAACTATGTCGCCCTGATCTACGACCACATCATCTGGCTGCACATCTGGCTCCTCCCCACCTGGTCCCAGTTGCATCTGCATTAATATGGGCTCCGTCTTCATCAGAGTCTGCACCACCCTCTCACTGTAGCTGCGAACCTGGTTTTCCAGCCACCAGCTCATCAGCGACAGGAAGCAGACCACCCTCCGCCGTATGTCGTCGTAAATATTCGCATGCGCTTGAGCTTCAGATGCAGTAGCCGTGCCAGATGATCCCTCTCGGAATGATTCCGGAGCTGTTTCACCTGTGATGTGGCTATAAAGAAGGTCGCTCAGTTCACCTGTCAACTCCAGGATATCCTCCTTTGAAATCTTTTCCAGTCTCTTAAGCATACAAACTTCATCCTCACTCATTTGAATTTTTCCACTGGTGTTCAGCACGTATTCGGCGTCATCCAATAACGATTTGACCGAGTCGTTGTCGCTAGCTTTGGTCTCTGTGTTGTACTTGGCTTTTACTTGTGAAAAAACCCGGAAAATGGAGGCTTTGGCGAACATCTTGGCAAAAAAGTTACAGATCTTGGTTTTGAGTCCCTTCTGTGATTGCTGTTGGGACTTTGTGGTTGGATAAACAACTGGAACATCCTTATATTCAAAAACAGACTGAGCAATGTCTTCTGCAGCGCACTGAATATCAACCGAAAACTCCTCCTGCAGCTGATGGTACTCGCTGTCCGTGATGTCCTCTACAATTGGCTGGATTATCTGAGTCACTTCGTCATTGATAATTTCCTGGACAGACTGTGTGGTGGAAGAGACCTCCGCATCTGAGGACTGAATCACACCCCCGCGCCGAGACTGTTTGACCTTGTAACATGTGCATATCCTGTTTGCACACTTCTTTAACATTTTGCAAACTGAGCGAATCATGGCGTTGTTAGGCTTGGGCTGCGAGGAGCTGCCGAGAACTTCTGTCACAATTAAGTCTGTCAAATGATCAGAGGCGGGGCCTTTCACCGACTCCACCCCCAAGGCATCTGCGAAGCTGCGGGCAATGGAGTCATCCAGACTGTCCCGGACGCGCTCCGCTGTTGCATCCTGTTTGAAAAACTGCGACATTATGTCCACAAGGTTGCAAAGAACTTTGACCAGCATGTCTGCTAGCCGCAGTCGGGTGTCGTTGTCAGGTTTGCCTGCAGCCAATAAACCCCATTGCTCTGCGGTCAAACTTCTCGCAAAGCCATCGATATGTGGCCGAACAATGTCCACCGACACTTTTGGCAGATCCAGATCTGCCGCCAAAGCCTCCTGGATTGTTCTGGGATCAGGTGCTTCACTTGTATTATTTATATCCATTTTTTTTCTAAAAAACTTTTGCCAGTTTTCGTTTTTTTTTTTTCTTCTTATTTTTGGTGTTTTGAAAATTGGCCTCAGGAATATCCCATTGTTTTAAAAGGAGCAGAGGTTAAATCTGTAAATGATGTCAGAGACATATCAAAGGACCTTTGATCAATGTCATGTCATAAACCAATTAGGGCAGGGGTCCCAAATTTAAAAAATGGCACAAAGTCGTGGGATGAACTTAATATTTATTGAAAAATTGATGACAATTGAGCATGTTTTCCCTTCTCTCCATGTTTAATGTATTTTTTTTTTACGCTTTGCGTAAACATTGAATCTGAAACAATCAAAGCTTAATATTATGAACACATGGGAAATTAAATTTGAAATAAAACACAGTGGTATTTGTTTCTTATTTTCTCTCTCTTTAGCTGTAGACTTTGAGTTGATTTTTAATGTAAATCTTTTTTATTATTATTATATATTATCATTATAAATGATTAATAATGATCCTGATCAATCATGAATAATCACGATTAATCCACAGTTACCCTGTGATGTTTGAGAGCCTTTCTATAAAAATGCGTTTTTGTGTCTTTGTGGAGCGCTGAGACCAGTGTGTGCGTGCTGTCAGCAGCGTCTGCTGTGCATCTGTTGCTTTCTATATTCTTCTTTATCCACTTCCTGTCCTCCTCCTCTGCTCCTCCTCC